TGTTCAAAAGATGAAGACTTTTTCCCACTTTGTATTGTGAAGTGGCACCTAGTGGTTTGCTTAAAATTTAAATTTTATTCTTAACGGTCAACTGGCTGTTGGAAGTAATAAATAAATTTTATTTATTTTAATTGATAATAATTAATTTCAATATTATTCTTGACGAACTTGGATACCCTCCCGTTGAGAATCGAGGTCATGTGATCTTGTCATGTGTCTCAAAACTATAACGTTTTGAGGTACAACAATTCACCATTATTATAATCTTTCAAAAAATAATAAACTTACCATTATTATATTTATTTTGTTTCATCTCTCTATTTTCCCCTCCCTCTAACAATGGCCATCACCCAACCCCTCTCAACCTCCTACCACCACCCTCTCTACACCAACCACCATTTTCATAGACGCATATACCTTGGTAAGGCTATGTGGAAAAAAATCAATATATCCACGTGAAATTCTTTTGTTGAAAATCCTTTAATTTTTTTAATTAATTTTCGTAAAATTAATTTATTTTGAAGGCTAATTAATATTCTAAAAACAAAATAGATTATATAAAAAAATATATAAATACCACCTTAATTAATTTTAAGTGATTGACCAATAGTACCTCAAAACGTAAATTTTGAAACACATAATAGGTCATGTGATTTTCATTTCCACCACGGTAGGGATCCGGATGCTTCTCTTGACATATTAGGTGTCAATCAAAATTAGAAAACAATCCTGTACTATTGTACTCCAACCACTTTCTTTTGAGGGAATTGTGATTGATTCTGTTTCATCCAATCAAATTAAGTGAAGTTGACTAGGTGCTTTGAGTGTCCAGAGTAAAATTTGGTAAATTTTTTTACGATATTTAGTTATTTACTAAAGCTTTTCCCGATTTTTCTTTCCTAAATTTTAGCATAGCTTTTTAAGAAAAAAATATAGAATTAGGGAAAAGTAAAAGTTCCCATCAATGGTGTCTTTTAGTTGAATTTGAATTGAAATTTCGGAATTACCAAAGGTTGGTTTTGTTAGATAGAAATTAACAGTCAAAAGTGAAAGAAATAAAAATAAAATTTTCATTCAATTAGCATGAAATCATAATAAGATAATAATAAAATTATTATTTTATAGTTTGCATAGTTTATAACTTACCATAAAAGATATAAATATATATTTCTCAAAAAACCAATATTTTCCAATTTTTTTTGTAGGAAAAATTATGAAAAAGTTCGGTAATTATAGAAAGTTACTTTCTCACAAAAAAAAAAAAATTTCTAATATCCAAATTCTTAAAAAGTCAACTAAAAAAAAAAACCTTTTACAAAGTCTAAAAAAAAATTAATTTATGTCTATTTCTATCTAACCAAATTGAGCCAAAGTGTAAATACACATCAAAGGGTATATAATCTAGTGGTATGACCTCTCCATTCTCAAATGAGGAGAGGATTTCAGCACAGCATGGTGAAAAAGTATGTGTGAGTGGGGTGTGACCGTGTGAGTTAATTATTATTACTTTTTCATATAAAACAAAAAAAAATTGTAGCCCTCATTGCTCATAGAAATTATTTTATGATGTGGTATTATATTGTTTTGGCCAATCACAATCTCACACAAATAAATGTATCAGCATAGGAGCAAATCCATCAATGAAATGTAATAATGAAACTTGGAGATGAATGAGAAAGGGGAAAAAAAATATAGAGCATTGGAAATGATGTGCAAGGCAAGTGGATGTAGACTTTCTACCAAACTCAATTGGTCCAAATTTGGCGATTCTTATAGCCATCACTATGTGCAGGCTAAGTCACAAAAAACATCAAAACAGTTAGGATTGCCTTGTCAATTGAATTTGAAGCAAAAGCTTTTCAAATTTGTAATTTTTTTGTTGATGTGGACTGAAAGAGTAAAATCTTACTTAATTCTAGGCAATGAGTTGAAAATCGAATTTTGAATCAAAGCTATTATTATCAAGCATGGGTGCATGACATGATACCTTTTTTTTTTTCGGAAGTTGCATGACATGATACCTTGTGAGCCCTCTAATATATATATATCATGTCATGCACCCATGCTTGATAATATATATATATATATATATATATATATATATATAATTATTCAAGGGAAGGTGATATTTTTTAGTATATGTGACATAACAATGGATGTAATATAACAAGGAGTGAAATGAATAGAGGGCTCACAAGGTATCATGTCATGCGCTCATGCTTGATATACATTTATTTTAAAGAGAGTACTTACCTGAACACTCACCTGAACGTAGACTTTGCCAAACAAATCGATTGGATACGTCGGTGCAATTATCATTTTTCACATATAAAATACTTGTAAACACTTCAAATGCACCAAATACTTTGTGAATATCATGATAATTTGCAAAAAAATAGAGCTTTCAAACAAAATTATCCTTGTAAGTTTGTCATCTTTTTAGTTTTGAGTAAAGATGGAAAAGTTCAATAATTGAACAAATTATATTAATTTCATGTGAGTATGAGTTGATGTTATCTTGATGTTAATTCTCAATCACATAAATCAGTCCAAAATAACTCTCCTGTTTGGAATTTTTTACAGTTTAAAAACAATTGTGTTTAGATGTGATTGGTAAAAACGCTTTTAATGATTACCAAATTTAGTTAGCGCTTTTAATGATTACCAAATTTAGTTCAGTAGAGCGTTTGAATGAAGCTAGAATGTTGTTTATATGTGTTCGGTAAAAACGCATTTAATGATTACCAAATTTAGCTCAATAGAGCGTTTGAATGAAGTTAGAGTGTTAAGTTAGCTGATGTTGAATATTTTAGGTAACTATTCTTTATTAGCTAATTATGTCTTTTTTTATTTTTTATAAGGATAATTACATTCATTCTATAAAAAAGTTGTTATTATCAAATATGGTAACAACTTATTAAAGGATACTATTGTAAAATTAGCAATATAAACATTTAAAAAATATTGTTACAAAATAAATTAAAAAATAATTTAATTGTGAAAAATACTTATTATAATATGTTACCAAATATCTAACGTGCTTTTTTAACTTACCATAATTTTTTTGACAGCTCTATTAATAAAATTACTTTTTTTTTATTCAAACGGGTTATCGAACTCCAATTCATTCAACCTTTGTTTTTTAAAACAATGTAACAATATTCTCTAGTAAGTACGTTCCAAATCTACACCCTTTTTAGCATCTATAGCCTTATGAAATTTAAAAAGGGACTGATATTCGCATTCCCGATTATATATTCTCATACTTCTAGATGATTTTTTTTAATAAACAGAACGATAAAATTACCTTTCAAACAATTGTGTTATTAATCTCTCTCTTTCAAAGAAGGAAATTAAGGGGGAAAATCAAATTTCCTTTTGAAAATACAAATTCATTACGGTGATTAATATAATATAATCATTATTAATGTGATTATGTACATCTTCCAAAAAAAAGCAAAGCATGTCACTTGAACACATGCTAGCACCAATAGATTCCTAAACAGAACATGTGAGGTCCATCTTCCACCTTCCCCAGTCACCTTACAACTCATCACCTCACACTCCTAACAAAACAAGAAAATTACAATTACATACCATGTGTATTATTATAAAAGTGTAAAAGTTTGAACAAAATTACACACAAATAGTTCTTTTAGCATTTATTATTTTGATTTTCCTAAAACTCATTTGTCGACGATCGGACACTGACTTTGAATATGAAAAGTCAATAATGTATTTATATTATAATTATATAAAATAAAAAAAATTATCATTTTATAAAATTTGATCAACAGGTCTCCAGAAAAGAAAACGACAGATCTCAAGAAAGGTACCAAGGGCATTATGGCCCAGTGATATCTCCTCTAAGTTAACTCTTAAAGTAGATGGTGAAGGTTCAAGTCTCTAAAAAAATAAAGTGTGGTCCGTGAGTTGTGTGTGAATTTCTTGCCTATGACAATAATAATAATAATTATTATTATTATTATTATTATAAATCAATAAAAGGTCAAAAAGTAATAAATGCTAACTGATCTATTAGGTGTAATTTGGCCAAATTACATGAAAATCAGTGTAATATACTTTATGATAAATTGAAAAATGCTATAGTTGACTAATTTTGATTTGTGATATTTGGTTACTTTTGTGTGTTTTAAAAGTAAATTTTTTAATATAAAAATATCTTAATATAGGAAAGAGAAAAATAAAAATAAAAAACTTATAATAACTTGAATTCAACTCTCACTGTCGTGGTCTGTGAGTTGAACACCTTTTTTACTAAATTTTTAAATAATTAAAACTACAAGTTACAATTTTACTGAATGAGTGACCTGTTTCTCGTGAATAAAAATCATAATTTATATAACTCATTTAAAAAAATATTTAATTGTATTTTAATTTAATATTTTTTTATTAAGAATATATAGTAATTAAAAAATATAGAGAATACAGAAGATAATATATTTATATGAAAAATATTAGTAGAAAAAGATTATGGTAATTATTCGTAATAATATATTATTAAAATAGATGATATTAATATATTTTGAATTATCGTCGACATCAAATTCAAGACCAGATCTTCGATTTTAATTCGAGATGCACTGCTTATATAAATTACATGCACTGCTTATATAAATTACATATCATACATCACATGTATTATTTATAAATTAATACTCCATGTATGATTAGTGTGAACTGTGTGATCAGTGTCTGAAAAACCAAAAGAAGAAGAAAACACAAAAAAAAAAAAAAAAAAAAAAAAAAAAAAAAAAAAAAGTGAAACAGTTGTGGAGAGACAGTTGTGGAGAGAAGAGCAAAAGGTGGTGACCCACAAAGACCTTGGTTGGGACAGCTGAATGGCAACTATTTCCAACGACACCCTGTCATTTCACGGGCACTCTAACGTTCCTCTGGGCAGCTACCCGTAAAATCCCTCTCTCTCTCTCTCTAAAACCGCTCTCTCTCTCTCCTCCCCTTTATAAACCCCCCACCCCACCCTTACCCTCACACTGTCTTTGCAATTCCTCTCTCTAGCTATAGAATCTAAATCTCTTCTGAGGAATAGCATACTTGCTCTCTCTCTATATCTCTCTTTCTTCTATACACATATATACAGTCAAAGAGATTAAATAGAGAAAATGGAGGCATTGAAGATGAAGCTTTTCGCTGCCGTGGTAGTGATGTTGATGGCCGTCTCCGCCGTCCAGAGCGTGGCCGCCGCCGATGCTCCTGCGCCCAGCCCCATGTCTGACGCCACCGTCTTCGTCCCCACGGCCATCGCCTCCCTAGCCGCCCTCGCCTTCGGACTCCTCCTCTGAAGTGTCAGCCCCCATGAATTGACAGCGAAGACTTCTCCTCTTCTCTGTCTCCATACCCCCTCACTTTCTCTCTCTCTAGATCATCTGAGAGGGAGAAAGTGAGGACATGGGTTGCGATTTTATTTATATTTATATTTATTTTCGTTTTATTTTTTAATATGCTTAATTTATTTTTGTTATTACTAGTGTTGGTGTGGAGTTTGGGATTTGTTTGGGTGTGATTGATGTGTTGGGTATGTTTTATGTGACCCTCTCTCTCTCTCTCTCTGTGTTTTATGTATATGTAAAATGAGGTGGTCTTATAGATTAGGCTAATAATAGAGGAGAGAGAGAGAGTGGGAGAGGGAGGGATTTGATGTGGTGTTGTGTAGATGTTGTTTCGCTGCACCAGCAGTGGTTGATTTCATCTTCTTTACTTGCTCATCCATTCTTTGTAATAAATTGACTCTGGTTCTTTTTCCTTATTTATTTATTTATTTATTTTCAATCTTTAAATAGGGGGTCACAATGATTAATCAGTCTCGGTTCGGTAAAAACGCTCGACTCTAGTTCAAACACAATTCCTAAACAAGCCAATTAGATTTTGCTCATTTGTTAGGTTTATTATTATGATTTATAAAATTATTGTTTATTTTAGTGATGGTCACATCTGGATACAATAATTGTGATCCATTTAAAACCGTGAATTCAATTTATTTATTTATTTATTTTGTTCAAATTTGATTGGACGGAAGCAGAATAGGGTTTCACAATAGGCCATTTGGGTCTGGTTGTGGTGGGGTTTGAGGGACACTAATAGTGATTTGGGTCCGTCGACAGTGAAATGTGGACCAGTGTCTATTTACGGTACTTAATTGATATTTTGTCTGTGAAATCAGAAAGACTATTCTAGGTGGGACAAACAAAAATTGTCTAAAATTATTAGTTGGTTTTTGTTTGAATATATTTCTTTAAAAATAATAATAATAATAATCTATTTTTAAATACTCTAAGCCATTCATGTTTGGATGAATTATGAAAGAAATGATAATAGGAAATGATTGTAGTATTTTTGTTTGGAAAATATAGAGGAGAAAAGAGAAAAAAAATTAAATTGCTATATTTATTCTAAATGTTATAAGAGGGTAGTTTTGGTGTTATGAAAATACTATTATTTATTCATTGTTATTTTCCTTCAAATCTTTTTATTTTTGAAAGAATATCACATGAGAGTTTTGAATAGATAATTATTTCTCCACATCTTTTTAAATTCTTTATTTTTTCTTCATTAAAAACTACCCAAACATAATTTTTAAAATTCTTCTTTTCTTTCCAAATCGCTCAATCAAACAATTATGTTCAAATTAACATAAATAAATAATATAGCCCGCAATAGGGACCGTACTTTCCATACCTCCATTGGCAATTTGGCACTTAAACTTGATTGTGACAGTATTTGACTTTAATTCTTTGTAGGTTGAGAGTGTCTCAAATAAGGTTTTTAAGAATAAGAAGATATAATGCAAAAGTAAAAGTTTCAACGGTCCATTTAAGAACCGAAAAAGTGAATCCGAGACAAGTCAATGTGAATAACCAGGTTCGTCCCCGATTTGTATGCAAGATTGAACTTCGCAAGATTGCACTTGGACGAGCGTGTTGGAGTTTGTGTGGCTTCATTGGATTGTTTGAGCAACAACATTGTGATCTAGTGCATTCTGGTCTTCTATTTTGACTTCCGACTTGGATTTTGAGGTTGGTTTTGACTCATTGATTTATTGTCTAAAATCTGAACAGTTGACGGATCATATGTTTTTGGAACTTGGTGGTGATTTTATTACATTTGCTAAGTCTGTGAAACTTCATTAAATTGATCTTGGGGTTAAGCGCATGATATTGAGACGACAATCGTATTCTTTAATATTTCAGAGTGTCTTCATAGTTTTGATTGGACGGGATGGTTATACCAAAAACTCTATATGTTCAAATTGGGCTAATAAATAAGTTGGCACAACTTTTAAATTACCTAGTAGTAAATATATTAATTTACATTTCCAACAAAAGCACAACTTTTAAATTAATAAATATATTAATTAACATTTCCAACAAAGTAATAACATAAAAATATAATATAATATATATATATATATATATTTTATCTATATATAAAAATTAAAAAGTACATGTAAATTCACCCCACTTCAAATTTTTAATTATTTCATCATACTCAGGTGCTACCAAATCCACACATTTCCCAAGTTCGGCGAACAGGTTGGTAAGTAACATTATAAAAAGTAAAGGAACTAATGTAAAATATTCACAAATTTAAATAAAATAAAATAAAAAAGAAAAAGAAAAAAGAAAAATTGAATTTACCCCTCTTATTATGTTAATTCAAAATTGTGAATGTGTGTGCTTGTCATTTATTTACTCGCGGAAAGAAATGAAAATAAGAAAGCGAAACTTCCTAGTGGGGTGACTTTAGGGAAGGGAGAGGCAAAAAAGCACACACCTGCATGCACACAGTGGAGGCTATTGGGCCAGAAAGTGGTTGGTCAGGGTAGCTTTGCTGTGTGCTATCACTTGAAGATGAGTGGGACCCTACAATCACTGCCACCCATGTTACTTTGCTTCTGTTTTTTTTTTCACATTAATTATTTATTTATTGTAATGATTATTATAACTATCCTTATGTCCAATTATAGTGTCCTTAGTGATTAAAATTTACAATATTATAAATGGAAGAAAGTTCTAATTAGTGGAACTCAGGTTAGTTAAGAGAGTTAAATAAAAAGAAGAGAAGAGACGGAGACAGCCCTAAGGGGTTATGAGACATGTTTGTGGACACCACAGATCTTTGGGTTTTTTTTTTTTTTTTTTTTATAGATAGGTAGATTTTAAAATTTGCCAAAAAGCATATTTATATATTCAAATATATACTTTGTTTTCAATAAATTATCTTATAATAATAACACAAGCAATCAGATCACTCATGTATGTAGATTTTTTTTTTTTAGTGATACTCATGACGAACATTTGCAGTGAATTGCTTAACTGAGTAATTTTTAATTGACTATTTATACTAAATATAACTAAGTGAACTAATCGGTGCAAGAATCATTTCCAGAACATGCATTTGCATCTTAATTTTGAAAGTTAAAAACATTAAAGAAAATGATAATATTGATGAGGTATATTAACTCTTAAGACAAAGAATTTGTTAATTGTGGCAAGTTTTACTATCATTAATTTTAGAAGAAGATATTTCCAAAGTTTATCACTTTCTTTACATATATCTACACACATATTATTATATGTATACATATTTTTGGACTTAAAAAAAAAAAAAAAAACCTGGAAAATAAAAGAGCTACAAGGTCAACTTTTAAATAGTTGAAAATGACATTAGAACATTTTAATTGACTTGATTTAACAATTATATTCTGCTAATCAAAATGACCAAAGATATTTTCTAATGATTATGGCTTTCTTTATATATATCGTATGTGTCTTTTCCAATTACTTCCAGTCATTATCATAAGAAGTGTATTAACTGTTAAATCAAGGCAATTAAAATGCAGCCATTGTCATTTTCAACTATCTAAAACTTGAGCTTGCAGTACTTTGATTGAATTTATTTTCCAGTACTTCATTTAAATGCAAATACATGTATACAAACATATATTTTTTGGCCTACTTGCATTATACCCTTATGTACTATCAAAAAGTTGCAAAATATCAACTTTTTTTTTTCTTCTTGCAAAAACACTCTCAATTTATCAAAAGTTACAAATTATCCCCTTTGAGGCACGAAAGTTAAAATATATTTGGTATCAAAGTGGTCACATACTTCTCATTTATAAAATCAATTATAAATAATAAAATGGCCATGGATAAGTGTACTTTTGTCAAAATAATTAATATATGTGTCATGTGAATTGCACGTGACCCACTTTAACAACATAACTCCAATTTCCATGCCATAGAGGGTAATTTACAATTTTTAATAAATTAAGGGTGTTTTATTGCCAAAAAAGTGTAGTATATGAGTATTTTGCTAACTTTTTAATACTCCGTATTACATAGAAGTGCACTTTGGCCCGTAGATCTCTTGCTGACTAGTGAATAAGAAATTTTACTTAATGATGAGCAAGAAATCATTACTAATATATATATAATATATACTTTTATATAAATACAGTCTGATACCTCTGACTTTGAGACACTATATCATTTTTTATTAATATTTTGCATTTTAAAAAAATCTAGGATTGCTATAAGAGGTTAGGTATTCGAGTTTGATTGAAATTTTCGGCAAAAAAATAAAATCTAAGGACTGAAAAGTAAATTCAACCTAGAGCTATAATTTTATTTATTATTATTATTATTTTTCTGGGCAACAACCAAGAGCTACAAGTTCAAATCTTTGATTGTTGAAAACGACATTAGAACTAATTGCCTTGATTTAACCAAAATGAATGAAGATATTTTCAGAGATTATGCTTTCTTTATATATATATATATATATATATATATATATATATATACATATATTTGCACTTAACAAAACAAAGTACTGGAAAATAAATTCAACCAAGCGCCCCAAGCTCAAGATTTAGGTAGTGAAAACGACATTAGAAGCATTTTAATTGCCTTGATTTTGCATTTATGCACTTCTAATGATAAAGACTGAAAGTAAATTGAAGAGATGCATAATACAAAGTCTTTCTTTATATATATACACACATATACATATACAGGTGGATTAGGGGTTGATGTTGTAGGAATTGGCGGAATTTGACTCCTCAACTACGTGGAGTAGTCCTACCAACAAGAAGAGACTTTTCCCCCATATATATATATATAGTTGTTCAAGTGCCTTTAGGGGTACACTTGTAATATCTCAGTGCAAGAGTATATCAGGATCCTTACATCTGATTTTTTTTTTTTTTTGATAAGTAAGAAATTCATTGAAAGCGAATCCTTACATCTGCATTTGCTGCCAAAGGGGAAGCCAAACAAATATATCAGATGATTTACCGTTATTGGGTGTATGCACTTATAGTGAATCTGACATAGACCATTGAAGAGATCAAGAATGACCCTCCCTTTAAGTTCCTATCACTTTGGTCTATGATTCGCAGTCGCGGTATCAGTCACGATAACGGTCACGATCAAGGTGTAATGAATTCGGACGAATATTGGTGTAAATCGATCGAATTGGGCAGTTCATGGGAGTATATAACAATATCGGATCCTTGAAAAAATATTACGAACCAAACAATACGTCGCGTATCGACCGATATAACAAATCATGCTTTGACCATAACAAAATGACATTGTTAAGCTTGAGGTGTGTCAAATAAGAATTATGGCCCAATACATAAATAAAGAACTTCCTTAACTTGGGCAAGTACAATGAGAATCAATTATAAGTTCTTCGTTGGTACAGTGTAGGAAGACCTAGTTACATTCTAAACGGCTCACTAGTCGAACCATTATTAACATGTTACGAGCTTGGAGTGTAAGCTAAAGTAAGTAAAGGTAAAGCAGGGTTACAAGCTAGACTAAGAAATCATGTAGATGTATTGAACTGTAGAGCTAAGTTACACATGAATGTAAAAGTAAGTCTAGATGGCTCGGCCGAATGGATGTATGAAAAGCAGATGTATCGATGCCGGATCTTGATCCCTTCATAGGGAGGTACTATTTATAATGCTAGAAATCATGGGTCCTCAACTGGATGTGTGCCACAAAGATGACCATGATGGTCTTGTGGTAAAGGCCACTCTTGAACTTGAGGCGTTATTCTTGGACTAACATGGATGTGACCTTCTAGGTATGCCTGGAACTGAAGTGACGGGTTGGGAATGATTATCTAGTTGCAGGCACTTGAGTGCTACTTTTGAAGTCACTTCGCCCAGTACAGTTGTCGCCTAAAGGACAGAAGTTGGTGACTCCGTCCGATGATTATCACTTACTCCATCCGGCCCTCACTAATTTGTGTGTTATGCTTAGCCAAAGATGTCGGGCGGGGAACTAGACAGGTCATGCTTCTTCTATATTTCAGCTGACTTGAACCTAGCTATTCAAACCAGCTATTCGTTTCGTCATGCCTAGGTGACCAAGTGCCCATTTTGCGTGCGAACAATACGGAAGTTATTTGCTTAATACGTACATACTCACAGCATTGTTTTCAATAGGTTTCGAACTCTTAACCTTTTTTTAAAGTGAAGAGCTTCATCATACCATTTTAACTAATACCTACATAGCAGTCCTTTTTTTTTTTCGGAAATAGTATCGGGCCTCTTAGAGCACCTTATAATCCACCATCGGAGACATGCAATCATCCCGTCCGACATATCACCAAGCAATTATCAAAAAAATTCTCTAGAATGACCCCAAATGGATTCAAGGAATGCTTCTTTCGTTGCTGATGGTGACAGTCACCATGTCAAAACCCTCACCAAAAGTTCTTGTTTTTCTAAAGCATTTTATTCACTTTCTGTTCTTTGCTCTAATTTCACAAAAGCATAATTGAGATTGTTCTTTTAACATTACCTCTCCTCACTAATTTGCAAATCGAAACCCTAAATTCTTAGTCCCGCTCTTAATTCGGGATTTTTTTTTAAATAAAATTTATAATCCAGGATAAGTTCCTGATTAAGTAACTTAACGTGCTTGAACTAATCATAATCAGGTTGATGTTAAAAGCAAGGCAACATCATGTTTGTACTATTCCTTTTTCCTTATACTTGATGCATACAGCAGCATACTTAACAACATTTATTAAGAATAATGTAATGATAATATATACTAATATATATATATATATGTTCAGGAGTAGAAAATTACTATATATAGTTTTCCTACTTTTCCTACCACAAATAATATATGTATACATATTCATAAGCATTCATACTGCCTTAAATCTAACTCCGACTTTCGCTGTTGTTCTTGCTAGTGAAACAGAGTGTTTGCTTAGGAAGAGGTTGTAGGATTGGCAGGGGAGGTAAAAGTGGAGGGAAGAGCTCCTCTGTTTGGTAGATGGGAAAGTGAGAAGCAAAAGGCAGAGAGCATACTCCTCTCTTTTTCTTTCTCTTTTTTCTTTTTCCTGTTTCCACTCACAAGTGGTAAATGACTTTTCTGTCCCCTAAAATTTTGAATTTTTTTTTTCTTCTATATAATGATATAATGATTAAATTACTCAATAATCGTTCCTTTCTTTTTCATTTCCTTCCTACTCAACCATATAATACAAGAGAGAGAGGCTAAGAATTCCTGCCAAACAGATCATTGCGGTGAGAACCTTGTTTTTTCATGATAAATAATTACTCACTAAGCATTCTTTTCTCTCTCATTCCCTTCCTAGTTAACCAAACAATACTAAAGAAAGGCTAATAATTCCTCCATTCCTACCAAACAGATGAATAGGGTGTGAACCTTTTGTTTTTTAGTTAAAGAATAGGGTGTGAACCTTGTTAGTACATTCTTTCACTAAGCTAGGTCAAATGACAGCTACACCTTCTGCTTTTTAGCTTTTCAGTGCTCCCTATTGCTGAAACCAAGGTACCAAGATTTATTTTATCAAAATCCCACACGCGCGCATATAAATATTAAAGTTATACCATCTCTATTATTTAAACTTTTAAAGCAAATGGTTGTTAACAACGAACTTAACCTTTCAGATTAGATGGTCAAACATGATATTAGAGTAGATGGTCAAACATGATTTTAGAGCCAAATGTCTCTAGTTTAAACTTCACCCTCACCCCTAATAATTAAAAATTAAAACACTTGTTGGACTAAAAAAAAAACTATATGTGAAAGGCATGTTGAATGATTTAAATATTAAAGTTACACCGTCTCTAACAATTTAAACTTTTAGAATAGATGGTTGTTAACAATATATATACACATCAGCAATAGGACTATGAAATTTATCTAATTATTAATTTTTATTTTAAACCTATTTTTTAGACTTGAATCATATCAACAATCATCATGCATTGTGAATAATTACATACTGGAACAAGAGATCATTATTGTGCGTGTGTGTGTGTGTGTGTGTGATATATCAAACAAAGAAGAATATACTTTCTAACTCATAATTTGTATTCATGTGACTGATAGGAGAAAGGACAGAAAAACTGGGGAAATACATGGAGATAACAAATGGCACTTCACATCATATGCGCTTGGCACATGGAAGTCTAGGGAAAGGCAAAACACACACACACACACAATCAGCAGCAAGAGTTGAAGAATGGTTGAACTTTGTCCATATGCTATATCTGCTGCACTTGGGCATGGATGGGGGGACCTCCAATAACTACCACCCATGTTACTTTTGCTTCTTTAATTATTGATTACTATCATCATAAATGTTGTCCTCACTCAATTATCAATACTTACAAATTTAGTTTACAATACTTAGATGCTAGCTAGAACTAGAAGACATGTGAGATTGCCAACAACAACAAACACCATAGGAAATGAATTGTTTTATTGATACTTCTGTTAGTGGAAGCACAGGTGAGTTCTGGAATTAAAGCAATAGCAGATAGAAAAAGGTCTAATTCAACAGTAATAACCAGATCACTAAATTATATATTTGGGAGAAAATTTATATTTTTTTTTCAAATTCTTTGGGTACAATGTTGTCAACTACTCTCTGTCTCACACACATCTAGTTTCATAATATATGCCCATGGAATGATTTAATCATGAATTATGCAATATCTAAGTCTTGATAGAATATATAAATCCTTTTCTTACTAGTTCCTAGTTGTGAAATATTCTCTTCAACTTTTGTACATGATCATTCAAAGTCTCCATCTTTTTACCTGCGTGGCCGCAGAACGTATCAGGTCGAATTAGGTGTCAATCTTAATCCAATCCGCTCTCAACGAATTAGACAAATATTAATCCGTCACAAATCCATTATCTCACAAATCCGATTGAATCCGCGAATTGAATTTTATCTAAATTATCTATTATTATTATTATTTTATAATTAATATTATTTATTATTATTTTTTTGATAAGTAATTAATATTATCTATTATTTATTTGTCTTTTAATCATAACCAATAGATAAAAATTTAATTTATTTATATTAATTCATAGATTTAAATAATTATTAACTAATACATCCTTAGAATCCATTAACGTATCATTAATTAATTACATTAACTAATATATTATTTGAAAATATATATATAAATTTCACGGATCAGATCGGACTCACGGATCGAATCAGATTTTTATCAGCCCAATCCATGAGTTATAGATTCGATTTTTTTTAATCCGCCACTTATCCGTGGGTGCAGCAATCCAATCCAAACCGCACAAATCGGACCGGATCGAATTCGCGAATTATTTTCCCACCCCTACTTTTACCCATAACAAGGTAGATTGTTAATTTACAAATGGGGATACCAATTTAACTGCCAGTTCTCTATTGACACAAGTTTGAAATCACCGAGTTTAAAACTAACTTACCCCAATAACTAATAGATATATAAATAAATATTTTTTTATTAATTATAACTTTCTTTTTCATTCATTTCTTATAATAATTTTATATTTTAACAACATTTTTATTATTATAATTGGTTAATATTTTAATATACTTGAATTATTTTTCTTAAAATATATGTATATAGGGGCGACCCGACCCAACCCCACCGCGGCTCTGATGAGGGTAAGGGCGAGACAGGTTTGAAAAAAGATTTCTATTTGTGGAACGGGTTTGGAACCCGTCTACTAAAAAAACTTTCCCTCCACCATATAGGGCATATAAAAATACTTTAAGGAGAACCAAGAAAGGATACATAAGATTAAACTCAATTCAATCACAGGCCAGCAGAAAATAGTATTTTATCTCATGACAATATAGAGAAGCAAACTACAAAAATTGATGCAAAAATAACATGTTCATGTAATGATAATTCAATAGTACATTGATTATTATTTAACTAAACAACTGTTTCTCAAGGATATCCCAAAATGAGTAATTCCTAAATATTTTAAATGCCTAAAAATCCAATTTCAATTCCGGCATTAAAATTATGTAATTCATTTCAGATGAACTACAAAACTTCTCATCAGTCACTGTAAAGAATTTCCGAAGTACAGCATAACTTCAGGGGCTGAATTTTACCAAAAACCAATAACTGCAAAACCAAGCCAAAGTATTATTTGATAGAGCTCAATTCCGGCGAAGACACTCTATTTCCGCAGAACACTACAGCCTACAACCCAACTTTCGACTCCAGCTTATTGATTTGGTTGAGGAATATCCATGTCATCTGCACAAGTACACATCCAACCATCAGAAAACCAAATCAAAGAAAGACGACCAAGTTTCAAAAATCTGGTGTCTTGGCCCATGCAAGGCACGCAGTGGGTGGTGCTGGTTTTTCGTTTTTTGTTTTTTTGATTGGAGCACAGAGAGAAAGAGTACCATGACATGGGGCGCAATCCTAACACAGTATACTGGAAATCCAGTGTAAAATTTGAAGGGCCCTCCCGCCTTCAAGGTCTTCATGACACAATCCATAGAACCTGTATACGGATATCTCCCTTCAGCATCAGGTTGCATCTTCTGTATTTGTGTTTTGACATAATCAAAAGGCAAACTGCAAGCTGAAGCAAAGAATCCTGACACTGCACTGGCCCCTGAAAATTAACAATCGGAGAAGAAAATATTATTCAGACCAAGTTATCCAAATAAAAAGTAATATTCAAAGTTTCATACCAAGCATATCATAGATAGTTTGCAGGGAAATCAAATTCAATAAATCCTTGTCTGTGACTTATTCATTCAGCTAACAAGACATTGAAAAATATGGGTAACTGAAAAAAACATGTCACGCACCAGAGACTATGTACAACACAATATAATAAGGGATATAACGCTACAAATAAAAGCTTTGATTCCAACAAACATCCTATTACAGTGCACGAGAAGATATAAAGTACCACAATCACTAAAAGCATAGAAAAAAACATTGAAAGGGAAATGCATAAAGAAGACACAATCACAACTACAATTTTTTTTGGATAAGTGACACAATCACAACTGCACTGAAATCATAGAAACTTAACATCCTCTAGATAACTTGCAGCACTTCTGCATATAAAATCCTTAAATACATACGCAAATGTAGGATTTTTCTCTCCTACTCAAATCAGGCAGTGTTAGCAACAAGAAAACTACTACATAAATAAGAATTATTTTATGGTCCCATATGCTTCAATCAAATTCGGTGAAACAGCATTTAAGAAGTCCCAAATGAGTAGTAATAATTAGATGGCTGAAACTTTTAAAGATTTCAGTTCTCCATCCTAATATAGTAAAAGCAGGACGAGTGAGAAAAGGAGATTTCATAGACCTTTGTAGAAGCAAAGGATGATTTTATAAAGAACAACATCTGTGATACTTCGTAACAAACTAGTTACTGGAAATCCGTTTATAAATAGTTTTATGATTCATCAGTGTCACATTATTTGAGAAGATATATTTCACATGAAAGATGATACACATCACCAATGGGTTGCATCTTGACTGTATCTTACAATTAACAGGTTACGCGTGTGCAGATATAACGTATATGTTTTGAGCACAATTTATAATGCTTCAGTCAGTAATTTGTGCGAAAATACTCCATATGGTTGACTTGCGAACCTAATGTACCAGAACAAGGGTATGCTACTCATACTTTGGTAAAATGAATTGAAACGATGGCAATAGAATTCATCTTGATTGTATCTTTAGAATACATGTGACACATATGGCACATGTAATGCAAATTTTAGGAGAACTTAAAACACTTCTTTCAGTAATTAAAGAAAACCCAAATTTCAAACAGTATAATTTTGTGCAAAATATTTTCCAAGCCATTCAAACTTGTGAACCAATTGTACAAGAACAGGTATATGCAAGTAATACTTGGGTAGAAAAAATTGTAATAGTGGATATAGGTTGCTAACCACAAAAAGTAGCAGCACACTGCAGATATTTGTTGAACACAGACACAACCACTGTCACAAAATTCTTTGTAGAATTACTTTTAAGTTATAACAGCTTTCAAGTATAATCCCAAGTTATAATATTTTGATAATAAATTAATAATGGCCGTACATCAATCAAAAGTGAGCAGTTCGGCTAGGGCTGGAATTTATTATGATTACCAGTTTACCACCCCCACCAACCTGACCTGAAAGGAGGGGTGGGTGTTCAATAAGACTGGCAGGTGCAAATTCGTTCAAGCATCAAATTGAAATGCTAACCAATCTATTATAACCACCTAAAAATGTAGATCGACGATCTGTTACATAAACCAACCATAACAGTTCCACTCAAATTACTATATTAGAAACTCAAGCAAAGCCATACATGAGACCAACATAATTAAATCACAAGCTTTAACCCATAGTCCTTATTAGCTCAAGGTCAACTTGAACTGGCATATGCAACTTAAAAGTTTTGCCTACCGCGTTGTTAACTTTAATTCATATAAGTAACTGTGAATTTAACCCTATAAAAATAAATTATTTTTTGTTCGAGTTTTCTAATTAAAAACTCAAAGGTAAATTACCCTCACCTCCCCTGACGTTTGCAATTTGCACCCTCAATTGAATTATTGCGGAATTCATTGAGAACCTTACCAGATTAGAAAATTAATGATGCAAATGGGACATCTAAAAAGACAACCGACTCTTCCAAACTTTTTAAAGTACCAGTGTCGAACACACTATACTTGGACATGGGTATAGAATATGTGTCCGACACTTTTGATTGGACATGTGCCTAAAAACATATCCAATGGTTCAATTTTATTATGTATTATTGCTTCAAAATGAGTGAAATGCCTATATTAAACACCATGTAACACAAGGATTTTTTTTTTTTTTTTTTTTTGATAAGTAACATAAGGAATTATTTTACTCTATAAAATTAAATAAAAATATTAGATAATATGAATATTTAGCAGTGGTTGGACATGTGCCCAAAAACATATTCAATGATTCAATTTTATTATATATTATTGCTTCAAAATGAGTGAAATGCCTGTATTAAACACTATGTAACATAAGGAATTATTTCTCTATAAAATTAAATAAAAATTTTAGACAATATGAATATTTAGCAGTGTCCCTCAGTCCTTCATTTGGGGATTTGACATGTCCGATGCCGGGATACACATCTGTACCCAAGTCTAAGTAACATAAGACAAAACTACCCTCACTGACGTTATAAGAAAAAAATAGCAGACTTGTTGATGTTATGGTAATAATGTAAAATGACAAAACAAACCCTATATCCTCTCTCCCCTCATAGACCTCCACTATACAGTATCCCCTTCATGCCAACACTGTCCTTCTCATACAAATATTATACAATATATAAATATAATGCCAATGCAACCATTTTGTGGGTGTTGGGGGGGGGGGGGTGGGGTTGGGGTTTGTGGCGGTGTTTGGTTAGACAATCCTGCTGCCGCCGCCACCTAAGCATACTCTCTCCTCTCGATCTTTACATCACCACCACCTCTTCCAAATCAAGACTTATATCTCCCACACCTGTCGACAATCTAACACATCTATGTGTGTGTTTATATGAAGTGCTTATATATATATATATATGCATACAGAATATATATATACACACACACAAATATTTTGTTGTCATATACATATACAAATATATATTGCAAACCTATGAAGGCGCAGAGCTATGGAAGTAGGTAGGTCTTAAGGGATCCTCAGGATCATTCCTCACTAAGTTGTAACCCAAAGGAGTTGAGTTGGCTTCCGTATAATAATTCACCATTTGTATGGTGTCTAACCAAATTCTAACCTAGTGAAGTGGCAATATCACATAATCATTCTTGATTAAGACAGAAGTTCTGTATCCTTTTTGATTGGAATTACAGAGATAATATGGAGTTGATAGAGACCCAAAAAAAACATGAGATGAAAAAAGTGTAATTGGGGTTTGGAGTTGCAGAGGATGCAGGTAAGAGATTTGGAAGCAATTGTGACATCATTTTTATCTCACCAATTCAAAAGTGGCTAGATTTGTTGATTTCTTAGTGGCCAGAAGAGAGAGAGACATGGCAATGAGGGTGATGGTTTATTTTGTGGTAGTGATGGGGAGAGAAAGGGAGTGTGTGTGTGGACTGGAGGTGGTGGTGTTATGCGGTGGTTGGCGTCCTCAGGGAGGTGGGGAGAGAGAGAGTGTCTGTCTGTGTGGGTTGTTGTTGGTGTTTGGGGGGGGGGGGGGGGGGAGTTGGTGCGCATGTGCACGCATATATGTATTATATATTTAACTTCTAATTTTATGTTTAATGTATAAACTATAAATTTAATTTCAAACATATATAAAATCTGTAAATTTTATTATATAATTTACAAATTTAAAGCTTGAAGATTAATTGTATATTTAGTATTTTATATAAATATATATTTTTCAATTATATATAGAGTGGCATATAATATATAGTAAAATATAGGGTAAAAATTAATCATGAAAAACGATTAAAAGGTTAACTCAGTAATTTTGCACCTAGAAAGGGTAATGCTGGTAGTAAATAAAAAATTATCCAACAGTTCTGATGAATCATTATTGGCCCTATCTGTATTTTCTACAAAACCTTGAGGGGTTGACCACTATTTTGACCAAAGTTTAATCTTAGGGTGCAAATTACTAACTCGAGAGAGATCGAGGTAATTTACGCTAAATTCATGAACTGAAGAATGGACTGCATACAGATAGCATTTAATTATTTGAACATATTTAATCACGATATAACATGATTAACTTCAAAAATGCATCAAATTTATGAATTCAAACACAATAAAACACTAAGAGCTTAATGAGAGTAACCCACAAGCATTTTTTAACAACATAAACTGTGGAAAGGAAACTGAATGTCTGTCGAAATCATGAAGTGGAAAACTTAAACACCCAAATCTACTTGCATGATGTAAGTCTATCATACAATAATATATAGTACACAATTACTATATGAGGAACAACCTAAATCAGAAACTACCACACCCAAGATTTGGTATGGCACTCTAGATTTTATTTATTTCAATTACATATAAACAATTAACATCCACAATCCACATGGACTACGACTACAACTATTCAAAAATTTGAAGCATGCAATCTAATATTATGAAGCTTTTTATTACGTTTGCAGTTTTTAAGACAATAAACCATTACCAGTATTGTCATAAAATAAAAATAAAAAAAAAATAAAAAAAGAGACTAAGTCATTAGCAGTGTGGCCTGGCTGATCAAAGGTGCTGGGAGGGTGAATGGGGCAAAAACCTAACCATCTGGCACTATTTACACAAAGTGGCTACCCTCAAATTTGCACTAGCATTGTCACGCTGGGAAGCCCGAACTCAAACAATTTTGCACATTAAATCTAAACTATACCAAAAATTTAATCATATTCCATAACACACTTTAGAACATGTTGCTCTTTATTAAGCACATTGTCACCAATATTCCTTAATTTTTTGTCTCAAAACCAATGTCTTCCTATCTCGTTAATTGTGATGGGACCATTCTTCTTTCAATGGCATTGGGTGTGCAAAACAGTGCAGTTTGCATCAATGGGGAGTAGTATACCATCTATATGATTGTCATTGGGATAGAGTGGGGTGGGAACTAGGAACTGCCAAGGAAAAACTTGAACCCAACATCCAAAACTAAAATGTGAAGGAGAAGTACCATCTACAATTCAGTAATTATGGGGGAAAAGTAACATGAATCCTGCAGTTAAAATTAAAATCATTCAATTTTTTATCCAACACATTTTGGTAATGAAAGAACTTAAGTTGAGCCCAAGACAAGAGAAAATGAAAATGGAATGCGGCTATAAGAAATGACAATCGAATAATTGAATTCATACCCAAGCATCTGAAGAAATTTCGAATATTAGGTTATATTTAAATAAAGATTCCTACCTACTACAGTAGCCGCGTCGCCAAAACCAAGAGAATCCTTGAAGAACTCCACACTTTGATCATAAGAGGCAAGCATTCCCATGTTCAGTGCCATGGCTCTCACTACAGTAGGGCCCGCACCTTTCCAAAGTGCCAAAACTCCTTCATCCGCAACAATACGATAGAGGGCATGGAATGCATTAGTGTAATTCCGACGCTGTGCAATAGGTAATGTAGCATCAGCCTGCATACGAATGAGTGCTAAATCTGCTGGACTACCAAAGCATGCTCCAATTGCTCCAGCAGTTAGCCCACACAAAGCTTTCTGATATAAAGGTAGGGGCTTCCCATCATTTGCCTCAATCGCTTTGTTTGTCAATATTCTAAAAGGAAACAGGAGGAAAAAAGTTCCCAAGTAAGCGGAGAAGTTGGTGTCATTTTTCGAAAACACAAAAACAGTGCAACATATTCTACAATTTGGGGTATATAAATGTGTAGACACTAAACACAAGTAAAAACATATATTAAGTTTTTCCCAAAAAAAAAAGGGGGGGGGGGGGGGGGGGGGGGGGAATTGAAGATTATATGAAGCACTAGAAAACACTATTGGGCGCCCTTAAAAATTGTGTTATAAATAGCACTTAAGCAATCTTCTATGGTATTCATGACATTTTGTATTCTAAATGCACATGGTTGCACACAACCACACAATAAATATAAAAAAAGTTGCCATAATAAACATGGCCAGCATCAGTAAGTCAAATTACAGTCACCTACATTGACTTACTTCTTTAACATTACAAATGCAGGAAATTGGGTCACATAAACTGGTGTGTTGTATATCCATATGAAATGCAGCGATTATTGAAAACCAGTGACCGCATATTTTTACCCACATCCCAATACCAATCAAGTATCAACCTCCCCTAAGTAAAACTTCTAACCAAACACTCAAGTTTACAATTTCCTTTGCTCACAAATTTATCTCAATACTAAAATATTAGAATCTGTAGACACCACCCAACAAGTATGTGCACCTTGTACAAGACTAGGAAGAAAAAACTCGCTGAGGAAATTTTCCACTAATTTTGAATTTTTCTCAGGCAACCAAATTATTTTACCTCTACCGTATTTGACAAAATGGAGAATTTAAGAGTTCAAGAAAAGCAAACTTTCTGTCAATGTAATGAAAAGTACCAAAAAAAAAAAAAATGTTTTCTTATATTCATATTTCACAAAAAAGTAACCGCGCCTGTGTTAGGTTTAGTGTCTTGTCTTTACAAAGCCTGTCGCAAACCGTGGAAAAGGAGTGTTGCTTTAGACAATCTGACAGCCAGCATGAAACTTCTGTCAGGACAATTATGAACATGAATCCTAAGAATATAAAAGTAAATGCTAGGGCATTTCCCCGTAAGCAACATGTTGCATCAATTTCCAGATGATTCGGAAAATGGGCAAGGGGCTCGGCATCAGGCACCCAGATGTTGTAAAAAGGTATGCAACAGTTCCGCATTTTTTCAGATGAGCGCAGGTAAAGAAGTTAGCCTACAAAACTAGGCTTATGATAGAGACTTGAACAATAGGGACATTGACGGGTAAAGAAATGGAGTTGATAGAAACAATTATTAGGAGGGTTAATATAGTATGTAATAAGAAACTAAGTGACATGAAAAAAGCTAGAAAAATTAAGAAAGCGGGATATAAACTTCATTACATTGGAGGATATTAGATGGTACACGGTGGACATGGATTTGGAGATAGATATGAAGCTGGGAGGCTATCTTAGATACTACAACGGCATATAATCTCATAATTGGGAATAAGTATTTTAAAAAGAGAGAAAATTTTATAAACTTTAAAAGTGGATTAAATATAAGCAAATTTGACTACTTTTTAACTAGAAAGGTATGTCGATTAACAAAAAAGGCTTGTAGGTTATTAAAGGAGAGAGTTTAACATCGCTACTAGTTATATATATATATATATACAAGGACAGTCTAAAAGGAGAAGTATAATTATAAATAGAAGAACTACGTGGTAGAATTTAAGAGGGAAGAAAGTAGAATTATTTAAGAATAAGATACTAATAGAAGAAACATGGAATGTAGAAGATGAAATAAACTTAATATAAAATAGCATGACTGAATGCATTAAAAGGGTATCAAAAGATGTCCTTGGAGAATCAAAGGGAACATGACCATTATCTATGGAAACTTGGTGGTGGAATGAGCATGTCCAAAACATTGTACAAAATAAATAAATCAATGACTAAGACGCAACATATGCATAAAGTATTCAACCAAAAAAAAAACATATGCATAAAGTGTGTGGAGCGAAAATGCAGATCAATTTGATGCTTAAGTTTATGTGGAAAACTTGGCTTATATGTCCCGAAATAAAGAAAATAAGATAACTTTGAGTTGAGCACTGTACTCCAGTATGATACACTTACAATTGCCCACATATGCATTGAAATACTTCACCTAATTCCATCACCACCTGTTTTATATTTTCCTTTCCAATCAACCCTTCCAAGAGGGGAAATTACCAAAGAAGCTCTAAGTCTAACCACTTGGTTTAGTGTACCCTGTAGACATAAACCAAGTGGGTCTAGTATTATCTAAGAAAATCATATAATGAACAAAATGAAAGTCTGAAACCAATATATAGAAGTATAAATTCATGAAAGATGCTTGATTTGGTGGATAAAGGATTAAAAATAAAAAATGGATGGCTACATATGTATTACATAACAAAATTCCTTGCATTTGAAGATATAAGCACACATCGTACGAATGAGGAGTATAAAGTAATTCCGTATATACATATAACTAATTCACCTGAATGATCCAAGCCGGGCAGTTGTATATGTAGCTTGTCTAAGCAGCCCAGCAGAAAGACCCTGCTCAAGTTAATGAAATTTAGACAAAGAAACGCATAGAACAAGAGCAATGCTAGAATTGACTCTGAAGCAACGTGTGCAAAATATGTCCGATTGGTAGCCAATAAAAAATCATAAGGATTTACTAATAAAATGACGTATTTGTGGGGGGAAAATGGCATTAAGGGCCATTCCTTTACAGGGGCAGACATATCTTACAGAAGTAATGCACATAACAAATGCTATGCTAGAATTACTTCCGAAGCAAAATAAAAGATACGCCTGATTGGTAGCAAGTTAGTAACTTAAGAGATCAGAAAGGGTTATGCATACAACAAATGCAGTAATGCACTGCTACAAAATATGCACGATTGGTAGCAACTCAAGGGATTTTTTGTAAATCTCTCTCCCATGCACACATATTTGTCCCATTAGGAACTCAAAACCTCAACCTTCAATTTGAAACGAGAAGGAAATACCCCTTGGACTTTGGGGCGTTGGGAGTGGCATAAAAGGCCATACCCTTACAATGTCAGTGTTTAGAAATTAAACTATCACAACGGAAGGGGTTGAAATTAAAAATACTTAACAAAGCTTTAATAGATAAATGGTCATTTTAAGCCTTGAAGGGTGCTTCAATGGGCTCCAACCCCATTACCTTCTGATATCTTGTTGGAATGACAGAGAAGCACCCTTTATGAAACCATCTCACTGGAATGCCTTGTTCATAGCATAAAAACGCCCACCTTGTTATAGTTAAAAATAAATTAATGAAGACACCTTTTGACTTTTTTCTTCTAAGAAATCACTTCTTACTAATATTTTCCCAAATTTCAAGCCGACTCATTAGCATATACATTTCAATTTCAAAATTAAGGATGCGTTTAGATATCCCCTTTAATTTGACTGACCCATTTCCTAGCCTATAAAAATCCATAACCTACAATGTCGTCTATAAGAATGATGAAAAATTTTAGCAAATGAAGGAGAATAGATGGAAGAAGTATCCTTAGAGAAAGGAATGTTCTAATCCCTTATACTGCTTGGTTGAGTAGGAATGAAAAAAGAAAGGGGCGTGTGATTGTGTGATTTCACTACTATACCCTTGAATAACTAAAAGAAAGAAGTTTTGGAAGGACAAAAGTGTAAAAGAAAAGGAGGGAAGCCACTTTAGGCAGAAACGTTTTCGTGGGCCTAGAGGGAGAGGAGCTCTCCTACTTCTTTTCTTCCCTTCATATTTCCCCTCTATAAAACGAAGATTCTGCCCTCCCCTCTTCCCCTTTTTCTCCCCCTTCCTTCTCTCCATGCTTCTCCACTACAAAAATCTTCTTAAGAGAAATAAGATACTCCACCATATATCTTGAAATGTAATCCCTTTTATCATTGAACTGGAAAAACTTGAAATATTTAGCTTTAGTTGTTTCCCTTAATTAATCCATTCAAGATGATAGCTTTCTAACTTAGAATATCATGCAAATGTCAATGGGGCCATACAATTTTCTTGAGGCATCCAACATACCTTTGTATTATTATACTTCCATCTCTACTGACTACAATACATTTGCATCTTCTTGCACAAGTCTATATATGTTTGTATACATAGAAAAGCCAAGGCACTCTCACACATGCATACACAAATACATATAGCTGAAAAAGTAAATCAAGAAAATAAGCCAAACCCAAGAAAAAATCAACTATAAGAATTGAACCTTGTAAAAGGCGCCAATGCCCTCATTTTTTAGCATGGTCCTCGTAACCTGGCCCGCTGATCCCTGACCCAACTGGATTCTCACCTGTAGTTGCCAAAGAAATCCACATTTCATTGTCAAACTGATGGCAGCACAAAACTCATTCGACCACTAGTCATTCTCAAACAAATTCCACAATTTAACTAGTATAAATACCCATTCGATCTTAGGATCTAAGTGAATGTCAAAAGACATTGTCCTTCAGCACACAAATTAATTTTAAAAAGCTCCATTTTTCTGAAACTAAAACCACTGTCTAACATAATGATAGAAACTGTTCCCCTGGGTCCACAGGTACATCACATAAGCAGAACTCCAGATTTTTTTAAAAAAAAAAAGCCCATTTGTCATATAAGAACCCTTCAAAAATGTTACTGCAAAGCATGAAAAAATCAAAGATCTTTTAGAGATGTAATTGTTCGAAAACTATAATCAGTCCCGTTTCCGTAAACAAACCGAAGATTTAACGAACACCCATTTTGATCTAAGATCTGAAACGCTTCAATTATGTCACTACACATCACAAAAATCAAATATGTCACTAAAAGGTATAACTGATCTATATCCGGCATACACATACACGTGTATAATCACAAAGCACAAAAAAGTTCGAAATTTTTCAATAGATATAATTTTTCCAAAACTGAAATCATTATATCTTCACAATCGAACTGAAGATTAAAGACCCATTTTGATCTAAGATCTGAAACCTTCAAACAAGTCATGACACGGCACAAAAATCTTTGATTTCTTAGACGTGTTATTTCAAAAAATGCTGTTAACCCACAAGAAATAACTGATCTATATCTGAAATTACGTATCAGCGAATGTATAATATGTACCTTGATCATGTCGATGGGTTGGATGACACAGGTAGCGAGCATACCAGATGCTCCCCCATTGACGAAGGGCTTCACGGTGGGCCATACACCAACGGATTTCGGCTTCTCCTCTCCCATTTCTTCTTCCGGTTAGGAATTGGAAACTCAGACAAACTGAAGAGAGAGAAAGAGACCAAGTAGAGAGAGAGAGAGTGAGAGGCGGAGAGAAATGTGCGAGACAGAGGTGGCTATGCTTACACAGTCGCATGTATTGAATAAAGATATAAACCCTCTCAGGAAAAAAAATATACAATCGTCAATTGACCACAATACCCTCCATTTTATTTTTATTTTTATTTTTTTTATTGCGGTGACTTTCATATACTAATTGTCAAAAAAGAAAAAGAAACAATAAAATAACGATTAAGATGATGTGAACAAGTAAAACTGGGATTAATATATGCACCTATTAAAAAAACAACTAACATGGTTGATGGTTCATGATAGTGAAATGTAAGAGAAATCAAAATTAAAATAGATTGTGATTGATGGTAACAAAAACAATTGATTTTTTTACTAATTTTAATAAATAGAGTCCAAAAGAGACTCTTATCCGTATTTTAAAATAATTGAATCTCACTTTTAAGTGTTTAATTCGATCATTAATTGTGAGATTAGTTCGAAATTAATAAGAATGGAAGTTTATAACTTTCCAATTTGAGTGGCATGTCCCTCTTACTAGTCCAATCAAGGCCTAGAATCTTTCAATCGATAAGGGACATAGCTTTTTCTACTTGCATTAGATTCTTTTAAGATTTTTTTTTTCTTTTTTGGTCACTGGATATGTTTGATTATATCTATAATATTAATTCATATATTAATTCAAGAGAGATAAAAAATGAATAAAATAATTAATGTTCCTTCATGTTTGGTTAAAATGCATAAAGCATTTTTTGTCAAACATTTTGTAAAATAGTATTTACAAGAAAAATATCTAAAATTATATAAAAATCTTTATTGGCAAGTCTTATGAATATTTGGAAAGAAGATAAGTTAAAGTATTTTGAGACTCAATAACAATAATAATATCATCTATATACAAAAATTAGAATTTTGAAAAATTAAAACAATAGATAAATGAAATTTGATTTTCTAATAATGCTTATTTCTTTACATTTTATCTCCATAATTTTCTTCTAACATCATTTTTTTTTTCCCAAGTTGTATTTTTTTCATTTTTTTATTTTCTCAACATATATATTTTATGACTAGTATTTAAAAATAAATTATATTACAATTGATTTATAAGTTTTTTTAAATTTTTGTTACATAGTTCAAATCCTGTCCCCCAACCTTAAATTTCTGGCTCCGCCCTACTTAAGTCACTCAAATTTTTTTTTAGTGGATGTCGCTCTCACATTTTAAACGTTTTCGTTCTCCTTCTCACTATGTGTAACTTAAATTTTATCATTTCCGCCCTCTCATTCTTGAATTCACTCCCACTCGCACTCCGTATAACTTAAAGTAAAATAACCTCAGATAAAATAATAATGTTTCTTTTATCTTTAAAATGTTCCAATTTTCCTTCTATTAATGTTTTACAATGAATGTCTACCTTTTAAATTCAACCTACAATTAAAAATTACCCTGCATTTGGAGGCTTTCAAAGAAAAATGAGGAAATGGTGCTTAACAACATTGCTTAACAACATTTCTACTGTATAAAAGGAAAGTTAAAATACAATGATGCAAAATTTTCCATTCATCCAAACAAGTTGGAAACAGGGATAGGACAGTCATCTTTCTCAATGGTGGTTGTTGGTTGTCTTTAAGAGACCTCAACGAATAACAATTTTGACTTCTGACTTTTTGTTAAGCAAAGCTAACCCAACCTCTACTTCACCTTCTGACCTTTTACTTTTGCTTATACTTAAATGAGGATTGAACAACTTGCGAGGGCAAATATGTAACTTCACTTTAGTTAGGTCCCAAGTGGGCGTGCGTGACAGTGAGAGTTTTATATTCCCCACAAAAAGTTAAATAGGGCGATTTTTTCCGTGAACGATGGCTTCAAAATAATTTAGCACAAAACTTAGGGTTATAAATGGAAATATAGTTTAAGGATTCATTTATGCTGTCCGCTTCGCGAGGATCTTAGCATAGCTGACCTATTTATCAGATTCTCGAACATTAAAGTACAAAATTGTCCTTAACTTTTCATAAAAATAACGAAGATTAGCCCCACTCTCTTCTTTTTTTCTTTATTTATTTATTTTTATTTTTTTTAATATCTATTTAATTTATTTATTTAAATACCCCATGTGCTGCATTGCTTGTAGTTTATCAGAAGTATGGCCAAACAAAAAAATCAGAAAGTAGGATAAAAGAAATGTGGTGTAAACAAATTGTATTTTAAGCAACTGCCAATATATTATACTCATTTATTTCATAAATAGTCTGTTAAAGTGATTCTCAATTTGAGAAAGAGGAATGATAGACATAGACCGAGCCAGAACAAAATTTGGGCGCATTATAGTATTGTATATCATAATATATATATTTATAATATAATATATATGTATATAAATTAATATTTATAAGTATATATATATATAAAAAGAGATAGTTATATTTTTGAGATGAAATTAATTTACCGATATAAAATATAAGGATTAAGAGAACAATTTAAGAAAAAAAATATGAAATATATATAGAATTAAATGAAGAATGAAAAAATTCACGAGGGTACTTTTCATATTTTTATAAAAAAACATATATAGTATTATAAAATATACTTATAAAAATATAAGAGAGGGAGAAAATTCGGGGCAGGTGTTCCTAGTCCTTAACTGCCTCCGTCATTGATGATAGAGACAAGTTTATCATTGTATAAATAAAAACTGATATCATCGTGATATTATGAATATTAACCTTTACCATTGGATCACCCCATGGCTAAATTTACTTCATAAGATGGGAAATAAAACATATAAGAAATACATGTGCAGTAAAATAGGGAATACATGTGTAGAAAAATAGGGAATATCTCAATAATTTCTATAACGGATAAGGAAATAAAAAGTAAAAATTGAAACAAAATACAAAGACCTGGCTGACAAAATAATTGTCACGTCTTTCAAGATAAAGATCATGAAACATCATTTTCCTAAAATTAATGGTTTAATTGATGATGTTTATCATTTTTAAAATTAATGGACTTTAGTAGTGTTAAAATTGAGCTTTTGTGAACATGAATTATAAGAGATTAGTGAAGTTGGATTGACTTTATTTATATTCGGGTAATAATCATGCCAACGTAATTAACTATTTAATTAATCAATACTCCGTATATTTTTAGGTTTCATAATTCAATCACCCTGTTTCACTAGACTTGACATGTTTAATTAATTGTGTGTATTATCAATTTAAATTAATCACTGATTTACTTTTAATGTGTCTACTAGGTAAAATGTTTAAATTAATACAGTACTATAATGATACCCTAGGTTAATTGTGTGGTTTGTCGAGGCAAAATGAAAAACTATCATCTCATGATTTTTAATTCAATAATTTAGTTTTTTTTTTTTTTTTTTTGGGGGGGGGGGTTATATTTGCATTTATATTTAAGAAAAATAATAAATATATCATTTCAGTAAGCAAGTTATATGACTAAATTCCAATACATTTTTTAGGGGTTTTATAAATGATAGTGCTATCGAGGCTCATAGAGCACTCATAATTCATCACTGAGCACATGCGATTCTCTCGTTCCATGTTTACCAAAACAATTCCTTGAGATGGCCCTAAAAGGATTCGAACTCCCAACCTCCAAAATGTGAGGAATTGAATATAATTTACTTAGCTTTTACAGAAAATCATTAACCTTACAAATTGAAATATATAAAACTACCCAGGACTACTATTTCACATTTAATAAATCTGACCAAATGTTACTTCAAAGGGTCACGGTTTGAACAGTGACAAAAAAATATATTTTTTATCAGGGTAAATTATAAGAACTTTTTTTGAGATTTGGATAAATTACATACGAATAGACCGACGTTTATTATTTTTACCTCTCCTCAAATTAATTTGGTGTGCGTACAACGACATCCCTAACATTTAAATAAATAAATAACTGTGACTTAATATCAAATTGTTTTTTATTTTCTTGTTTTGAACAAAAACTTGTTATTCTTAAAAATGAATTAAGCAAATCCATAATATTTCAAAAAAGGCACTATTAATACTAGCACATTTCTTATATTACAATATTATCCAATCCCCCCTCCCAAAAAAAAAGAGTGTTACTTACTCGTGCTGTTTAAATAATAGAAGGAAATAATAGTGAAAAAAAAAAATTGAGAATGAAGATAAACTCAATTTTAATTTTGAGAATAGAAAGAGAAAAGCAAAAATAATATAGCAAACAAATAATTACTAGCACATCATTTTAAAGATTCGAAAATGAAAGGTCAAGTGTATGTGTTTGAGTGATGTCTAATAAGTAGTAACAGAATACACGTCACTGTATGTTTGGGGCTGCAAAACACACACACACACGCGAGTCACATTGACACGTATATATAATATATAATAAGAGGTGAAAATATAATCAGAATTACTACTATTAGTGTAATGGTCAATAAAAGACGGTGGAAAATAAGCGTTTTTTTTCATTCAATGCATGGGATTCTTAGTCAATATGAAATGAAGTAGTGGCACTAGCACTTATATACAAGTGTTACAAATACTATACTATAATCACTACAGTGTGACTAATTAAAAATTATTATAACATAAATAATTGTTCTTATTTTATACAAAAAGATCTTGAGCTGTCAATTTTTTTATTTTTTAAGATTAATTGTACAACATAAAATTTGTACAATCTTATGTGGTATTCAATCTCTTTAACTATCCAGATCCAAGCGTTGCTCGAATTTGATTTTGAGTATGGTCTTTAAGAGTCTTATTTAACTATTTGTTATTAGAAAAAACTAAAAAGTTTTGATCGAGGACTGAAGAAACTTGACCTCGAATAGTTTTGTTGACGATTTTTTCGAATTTGTTGAATCGGTGAGGAAAAACTCCGCGACTTTAAATGTGCTTATTGTTCTTCGTCTCCAAGGTTGGAGTGCTGGTAATTCTTCAACCTAGCATGTTGAATATTTTTTTAAAAAAAAACAACACAATTATGAATGTACTTGTTATTCTTTATCTTCAAGACTCCAATATTGAGAAAATATTAAGTTTAACAGAGTTT